TCCATTTTAGGACACCATCCAGGTGTATGCACATGACGTATCGGCTCCCTCTTCACTGTTTATTCAGACCCATAATGGATGAACTATCTCCCAATTATCGACAATTACTTCTTCAAGATAGAATGCTACTTCGCTGCAGAAGCCCTTCGAAGCTTGTACCAAATTTTGCCTTTAAAGCCCCTTCCAAGCTAAGGGTCTCTGTGGACGCCTGGTTCCATCTTTTTGGAATATGAATCACAAGAGCCGAAGATGAGCGAAGGACTGCGATATCACTGGACAAACTGGATATGTTATGCGCATACAGGAAGCTGATGCCCTTACACAGTACTCCTTCGGGAACTCTCGAAACACTCCCCATTAATCTGACCACTGCGAAATTTTGGCAGAAACCTCACGAATTGTATATAAGTTTCTGAAAATAGCTCTGAAATTATTACTTAGCGACACTCACATCCAAAAAGACACTTCGAACCCACGGCGGTAAGCGATGCGTGATAGGAGATCGGAAGTATATGTTACAGATGACGACAGTGATTAAAATGGTTATGATGTTGAGCACAAAGGTAAGCAGGAGGTATTTAGCGACGAGCGGGATCGACAACGACGTCGGCGGCAGAATTTTCGAGACCAGCAGTAAAAACACAACGATTGACAGCAGAACGTTCATTGTCAGGCCCATCTTCTCGCCTAAAATCCATATCATATTTATTTCATTCCATCTCTTTACTCTCATTTACCTTGCAGTCATCATTACCCATTGTCATTTGCCAACCAAATTTGAGCATAACTTATTGATGATATCTTAGCTTTTACTCCTTGAGCGGAAATGAAGAAAAATTCATCGAAAATGGAACTCTTCCCTGTGCCTTTTACTTCATCCCTTCTACATTCTTTACAGGTATCAGGGAAAGCATGAGTTGTGAAATCAGGAATAGGGTCGAATATAACATCTTTTCAGGATCGATATGAGCGGCTCACCTGAAGCTGTGGGAAGGTAGAAGACAGTGACATTCAGGAAAGCCATCAAGACTGTGGGCAAAATCAACACGACTGTGTAGAACAACGTTTTCCTCCTAAATTAGAAAATTACTAAAGAAGTTGTGAGATAAAACATTCTCCTAAGTAATTAGTATTGGGCTCATTGTTCAAGCAGCTGAACGTGAACTGACCTTATTCTGACTTGAAACTCGATTCGACTTCTGTCTTCAGTTAGCACAGCAGGAGCATCCATCATATCCCATATCGACGATGGCGCATACTCCGAAAAGTCGACCCGATCCGAATGTAGGAAGTCCAATTTGACTTCGTCACGATTGTACTGAAAATTATTTTCTGGTTCATTCCTTTGTTTTAACCCTTATCAAAAAGAAAAACTCATAAATTGGGGGAAGATTGGGAACTTTTTTAGGATGGAGATCGCGGATATGACGGGAATATGTGTATTTGGGGGAAGCACCAAAAACTGGCAACCGGCTTTCGACCTGGTGTGTGGCAAAATACTCGGCCAATGGCTTTCCACTCACCAACCTCTGCTAAGCGGTGTGAGTGTCTTCGAAGTGTTTTAAAACTAATTTGCAACAGAAAACGGCCCTTTTTGAGAAGAAGTTCACACTGAAATTAGCCACTCCATGCGACTACCCAGATGAGTACTCCTGGCTGCCTCTCCTAGACACTTCTTCCCACCAAGGCCCTATAACTGCTTCAAAGCCAGTAAGGACCCAGGCCAGGATAGCTAAGGTTTGAAGGGTGAATACAAGAACGACAAAAATTCAGCAAATAACACACATATGGATTTGTATGTTAAGATTAGTTTCTATCCGTCGATACCATAGCACATCAAACGATGTCTCCTAATTACTTCTATTGACATTATCCCGCTGTAATTTCGACCCATTCAAACGTTATATATACAGGGTGCGTCATAAATATGGTAACAAAGTAATCGTGGTACAGAAACCGCATTTTAAATCGATAAAAGATGAATTCATGTGAAATATTTACTAAACATTACAT